TTTTTTGAAATTTGTAGTTTATTGTTTTTCCACAAGTGTAAATGGGCGGGGGGAAGGGGAGAGGGTACAGAAAAAAGAAGGAGGAGGGATGGGGGGGAGGAGGGGACAGTCACGATACCATGAGTCACATGTTGAGCGATGGGTATGCCCTTACATTATTTACACAATTACAGTTCTTACGCAGTTACATTGCTTACAGTTGCGTATATTAGTTCATTTTTACACAATAGGTACGTCAGTCATACAATAGTTACACAATTTACACAATAGTTACACAATAGTTACACCACAATCGGGGACCTCTCTATGGTGGTCGCCCAGCTAGCCACTATTCCAGCCACGATTTATGCTATTCTGTCTGTCTCTTAGTTCCTTACTGCCTGACTGTCCTAGTCCTGCGGTTTGCTCTTGGGTCGTTACAGCGTCCTACTATATTAGGCGTTGAGGTTGGCCTTTCTCCAGGTGCGCCATTGGTCCCAAGCCCCTCCAAGGCTGCTTGAGCCAGAGCGCGTCCCGGAAAAACTGGTTTCATAGATTGCCTGGTTATCTATATCCTGAATAAGGTTTGGGATATGGGGGGCCTCATTTGTTTTCCAGGATCTGGCTATTAGTTTTTGTGCGGTCAGCAGTATATGGTATATTAGTTTTCTCGACTGTTTGGGTACTTCCCTAGGGACATCCAGTAACAAAAAGGGCCTGGGTTCAAAAGGTATTTTGATTTTTGTGATGTCAGCAATTAGTTTTTGGACATCTCCCCAGTACCTAAATAATCGTGGGCAACGCCACCATATGTGAAGGACTGACCCCGCCTCTTGTTTGCATCTCCAGCACATCGGAGATGAGTGAGGATACAGTTTATGTAGGCGAAGCGGCACCATATACCACCTGTATATTGTTTTCTGGTATTGCTCCATGAGGGAGGCAGATTTGACCAGCTTTCTAACGGAGGATGTGAGAGTTTTCCACTGATTGTCAGTGATGGAGGTTTGAAGGTCCATTTCCCATTGGTTTGCCTGTGTGGAGCCCGGTAGGGACTGGTATGGCAGAATTAGTTTATAGCAATTTGAGAGTGGCTTATAAAGTGGAGGAATTTTACCCGTGATACCTATTTGTTCCCAGGTGGAGGGGTCTCCCATTTTATTTGATTCTACTTTGTTGTCCTTGTTGAGTTTGTGCAGGAAGGATTTAAGTTGGATGTATGAGTATTGTGAGGTGTGTGGGATGTTGTAGGTTCTACTGAGACGCTCAAAGCTCATTAGTCCACCTGGGTCATAGGCTTGGGACAGGAAGGAGATACCTTTCTCTTTCCATGGGGTGGCATGGAAGGTGGGGATGCAATACGTGATGGCCTCGATGGGTGTCGCCATTGAGAGGGGGTGGGCCGTTTCGAATTTCGTTCTATGTAAGTCCCAAGTTTGCAGTGCTAGGTGAAGTTGTAACGGTATCAGCGGAATATGTGGTCTGCTCTTGTTAGGTAGCCATAGCAGGTTGGCGACTAGGAAAGGTTTAATAGCTAGGTTTTCTAGGGTCACCCATTGTGGTCGGTTATCTTTAGTTAGGTGGTTCAATAGGGGCGCTAGGACCGCAGCCTGGTAGTAGTGTTTTACGTTCGGGAATGCCATACCTCCACGCCCTATGGGTGCCGACAATAGTTTGTTGGAGACCCTTGCCCGTCCCTTGCCCCAGATAAACTGGAGGAGCGTAGACTGTATGGTTTTAAAATAGGATTGTGGAACTTTCAAGGGGAGGTTCCTAAACACATATTGTAGTTTCGGTAATACGGTCATTTTAATTGCGACAATGCGCTCCGTCCAGGTAAGGAACAGTTTGCCCCAACCCCGTAACAGGGCCAAGCATTCAGTCCAGACTCTGGTATAATTGGTAGGGAACATGTCAGAGGATTTCCTAGTGAACGTCAGGCCTAGGTATTTTATATCATTTTTTCTCCACTCGAATTGGTAATCTTTGCGTAGTTGCGCTAGGACCTGTGGGTCCAAGCGCAGCCCCAATGCCTGGGTTTTAGTTGCGTTTAGGGAATAGTAGGAGAGTTTCCCATATTTGTCAATGAGCTTCATGATGTGAGGGAGGGACTTATCTGGTTGGCAGACATATAGTAGGATATCGTCAGCGAATGCGCTGATTTTGATGTGCTGGTCTTGCCAGGTGATGCCTTTTATGTCTGGGTGTGATCTAATGGCAACTAGTAGCGGCTCCAAGGCCAGTACATACAACAGAGGTGACAAAGGGCATCCCTGTCGGGTGCCATTCGTGATTTTGAATGGATCTGATTTAAATCCCGCTTGTAGCACCTGGGCCCTAGGGTGGCTATATAGAGCGAATACCTGTTGAATGAACTGTTGTGGGAACCCAAACACCGAGAGAACCTGCCGTAGGAAGGGCCAGCCCAGGCGGTCGAACGCTTTTTCAGCATCCAAGGCTAAGAGCAACCCGCCTGGGCCAGACCTCCGCATCTGCTCCATGAGCAGGGACAGTTTCCGGGTATTATCAAGTCCCTGCCTCCCCATCACAAACCCCGTTTGGTCGTCATGGATGATTGAGGGTAGTATTTTGCCCAATCTGGAGGCCAAGATTTTTGCATAAATCTTAGCATCCGTATTTAGCAGGGATATTGGCCTGAAATTCTTACATTGATCCGGGGGCTTTCCTGGCTTTGGCAGCGTAACTATGGTCACGAGTAGCATTTCGGAAGGAAGCTCCCCTTTCTCTGAGGCTGCCTGGAACACTTTAACTAGTCTGGGACCCAGTACCTCTGCAAACGTCTTATAGTACAGGTTGGGGAGGCCGTCTGCTCCTGGGGACTTGCCTGGAGGAAGGTGTTGTATCGTATGGAGCACCTCCCGCAGTGTAATAGGTTGGAGTAATAGCTCCAATTGGGATTGATTAATTCGTGGGAGGTGAAGGTGGGACAGAAACTCCGTTATGTTGTCGTTTTCTATGGGGGGGATTTCGGGTTTGTCTCCCAGGTTGTACAGGTCGGAGTAGTATTTTGCAAACTCCTGGGTAATATCTAATGGGTTTTGTAGTTTAGTACCGTCTGGGCCCTGTATGTATGCTACTTTGGCGGCCGCCAATTTCTCTCTCAGCCTATTAGCTAATTGTTTATTAGCTTTCCCACTGTGATGGTAATGGGTCGCTTTCAGTTTAAGTAAGAAATAGGACGTTTTGGCTGCGTGCATTTCGGTAAGTTTGTCCGTTAGAGTTTGGATTTGTTGTGCGAGAGTGTGTGAAGGTGTCTGCTTATTTTGTGCAGTGATAATTGCCAGTTGTTTTTGGCAGTCCATTATAGTCAATTGTTTGTTTTTCTTTTTAAGGTATGAGGAGCGTCTAATGAACAGGCCTCTTACTACAGCTTTGTGTGCCAACCATACCATGACATCGGGTGTCTCCCCCTCAGAATTTGTTAGGAAGTACTGGGAAAGTTCACCTGCCACTTGGTCTACAAAGGTTTTATCTTGCAGTAAAGATTCATTTAGTCTCCAATTCCCTCTACCCTTAAACTGAAATTTGTCGTACAACTCTAGGGTCACTGGGCTATGGTCCGACCACGTTATGTCTCCCATAACACACCCTGAGGTCTGCGCCAGAGTGGACTGATCCACATAAAAGGTGTCAATTCGAGTGTACGTGTTGTGTACCTTAGAGTGAAATGAATAATCCCGTTCACTAGGGTGAAGTACTCTCCAACTATCATATAGGTTATGCAATAAGAGTATTTTGGACAGTTTCTTGCTCGTGGAAACTAGGCTCGCTCTTCTAGGCCCCTTCAAGGTGGCGGTTGAGTCAATGTCTGGAGACGTTATGAAGTTAAAGTCACCACACATCACTAATCCTCCCTGTCTCAGTTTATCTATTTCATTAAGTATGCGTCTTAGGAACCTCTCCGCTCCAGTGTTGGGAAAATATACCGAGGACAACGTGTATTGAACATTATTGAATAGACCCACAAGAATGATATACCTTCCCTGGGTGTCTATGGAGATTGCTTGCTCCTGGAACGCTATGTCTTTGTGTATGAGGATGGAAACTCCTTTCGACTTATTATCTGAAAGGGCATGGTACTGTGTGGGATACAGTTTGGCGAAAATTGAAGGGGTTCGAGGTTTCATGAAGTGCGTTTCCTGAACACACGCTATATCTATCTCACTTTTCTTAAGATCCTGCAGTAGTAGCCTGCGTTTCCCCGGGGAGTTTAGACCTTTTACATTGTGTGTTAAAATTTTAACCATTGTGAAGTAGGTAAGGTATGGGCTCTTTTAGACCTGGTCTTTGGTACCAGAAGAGTTGTAAAAACAGTGGTTTGTTCCAGCAGTACGCATCTGCTATATCTTTTTTTTGAACTGTATGGATCGCGACTGGGGGGAACTGGTGTGGGATAGGGCGAAGGGTGAGTAAGTGGGCAGGGTGGATTGGGGAGAACTGGTGGGTGACACACCCAACTCGGCTCCAAACTGTGGGGCCGTGTGACCTTACTTATCGAGTAAGTATGGCTGGTGGGGGTAGTGGTGATGAAGTGTCTACTCATAGTGGACTATCACCATGAAACCAGAGGGGCAGTCTTACGCTTATTTATACTATCAGTAAGTCATAAAGTATAATCACAAAATTTCGAATTAGCTTATCCACTAACTAAGTCTAACCACATTACACAGTATCATTCTACATTTTATCGACATTTGTGCTCACGTCCCCGTGAGAGGACTGTTAAAGGCTTGGTGGGCAGCGTCATATTCTAGCCAGCAATCCTTGCTGCTTAGTCTACGAAACCATTTTGTACCCGCTACATTGATGCGGTAAACTTAACTATCTCTAATATAACTAGTAACATAACATCAAGATTAAATAGGGCATATTTAGTTACGTATATCATCGGAGGTTACCAGTCTTTTCATTTGACAGTCCACTCTAGTGACTTCCTTGGCATCGCTGTTGTCTTGGCTGGTTCTGGTGTCGGTGTAGGGAGCCCCCAGTCACTAATTTTCTGGATACCTTGTTTCGTGTTGGTAATAGCATGTATCGCTCCTTGGTGGGAGACCAAAAGCTTAGCAGGGAACCCCCATCGGTAGCTCAGGTTGTGCTCGCGTAGGATGGAGGTGATCGGCGACATTGACTTCCTGAACTGCAGTGTATCCGCTGACAGGTCCGCGAAGATTTTTATTGTGCTGTATTCTTTCGGCATGCCCGAATTCCTGCTGACTCGCATGAGCTTGTCTTTTGCGTGGAAGAAATGTATCCTGGCAATTACATCTCTCTCAGCCGTTTGCGGCAAGTGTTTCGGCCTGCGTAGCCTGTGTGCTCTGTCTATAATCAGTTGGTCCGGATGGATTTCTGGGACCAGGCACTGGAACATGTCTGACAAGTAATTATGCAGTTCGTTATTAGTAACGGTTTCCGGGATTCCCCTGAACCGGAGATTGTTTCTCCTCGCCCTGTCTTCTATGTCAGCCAGTTTTAGCTTATGCGCTTCCAGACTTACTTCAAATTCCTGGAGTTTGTCTGCCAGGCTGTTGTGAGCCTCTGCATATTCGTCCATCTTGGACTCCATTTGAGCTGTGCGAGTCCCAATATCTTGTATATCCTTCTGTAAGTCTGCTGTCATAGCTTGTATTTGCAGCTGCATATTTTTCTGTATGGTGTCTGAGAATTCTGACATTAGTGAGCGCATTCCCCTCACCGTGAGTGGTTGATCTTCTGCACTCTGTGTGGGAGATGAGCGAGGTGAGAAGGAGTGTTCCTGCGGTCCCGGGTCGCCGCCATCTTGTGCAGGCTCTTCTCCCTCATGCTGTCTGGAGGCCGCGATTTTCGCGCCGAAAAAGGAGGCTCGTTCCGCTTTCCCCGTTTTGGATTTGGGTCTGTGGGCCATTGCGCACTTAAGCCCCCTGTACTTGGTGTAATGATTGCTCGGTATACCGCTTATTTATCGCCCGCTCTGGTTTCTATGCAGGGAGCTGCTCCTACATGCGACCGCTCAGCTCCGGCGGCAAGCCACGCCCCTATATACATTCTTTTAAATAGAAAAAGTCAGAAATAAGATATGTATTATTGTTTTTGAATAAATCATAATGACTACTATGTAGAGCAATATAAAGCTTCTTATATATAAGTGCTTTTATATGCTACCAAAAATGAATACAAGAAGAGAATACTCTTGATTAGAATATATATGAACATCTAGTAAATTGATTCAAAGAAGTAATAAGAAAGAGAACACCTAAACGATTTTGAATTAGGTATAATATATAGAAATCAACTATTAAATGTATTGTTATATAGTTAATCTGCCTTTATTGTCTCTATGGTCATGCTGGTATTGGTATGGAATGAGATATATGGGCATAAAACTGACTTTCCTTTATTATCCCTGCAATTATGCCGGTTCGGATATACTACAGGGGAGATGAATCGCAAGCTGGAACGCACGGAAATGACGTATCGGCTTAAAATTACGGGACCGGAAGTGACGAACCGACATGGATACCCGGAAGTATGCAAAGAGGGAGGCTTGATACGCTGGGCGTCACCGTTGTTATGGTCATTGCCCATGAAATCACAAGCCGGAAATCAATTGATTTACCCCTGAGAGGGATACATATAGCAGGAATCAGTCCAAGAGAAGACACAAAGACTTTTTCACATCCAGCTGAGGAAGCCCTCTCGGCGAAATGCGTCCTGGGAATACTGTGAGGAACAGACTTTGGAATACTGGACTTTTATGCCTATATAGTGTCATTTTATATATTTTTTATATTTTATTGATGTAGTATAATAAAGTTTATATATATTTTATTAATCACTATTGAAATTTTCCTGCGATTTTTAAAGAAGCATTGTGGTCCTTAACCACATATGCTGTTGGATCAGAGCCGATGTGGATGGCTCTGGGTTTGTAAGTACCCTATTTACCTTACTTATCACAAGACATAAGAGCTACGATATTGCACCATATGTGCTCTTCCTTATCTATTATAGAATACAAGAGAGAGAAGAACACATATTAAAGAAGGGATAAGGTTCACCTTTACGGACCCCGAAAGCGATTCTATTGAGCTATATATACTTAGCTCCTAAAAGTGTGAGTGGGAAATTTATATTCTCCTTTGTATATACCTACCTTTTGTATCACAGTTTGCACTATGTTTTGGTTTTTTTTGCTCATGTTTTTAGGGAACTGCATATGAACCATTGTGATTTATATGAGACAAGTCAAGGTATCTTTGTATTATATCTCTGCTCTCCACTGCACGGAACACTTT